GAGCCACTGCGCCTGGCCATCCGCCTCCCAGGTTTAAGCGATTCTCCTGTCTCAGCCTCCTGAGTAGCTGGGACTACAGGAGCATGCCATTGCACCCGGCTAATTTTTAAATTTTTAGTAGAGATGGGGTTTCACCATGTTGGCCAGGCTGGTCTTGAACTCCTGACCTCAGGTGATCCTCCCACCTCAGCCTCTCAAAGTGTTGGGATTACAGGGGTGAGCCACCGTGCCCAACCAGAAATCCCATTTCCTGACCTGTCCCATGACTAGGTGATCTTTGATCTTTGAGCACTGAAATCCCAGGAACTGAGTGGGCATTGCCTTTTCTTTTACTCTGGCTTCCTGTGGTTGGTGCAGTCCTGACCACTGTCCTTTCCCTGCAGGTTTGTGGATTTCCATGCAGCTGCCTCCACCTGCTCACCCTCCCGGGCTTCCTTGCTCACTGGCCGACTTGGCCTTCGCAATGGAGTCACGCACAACTTTGCAGTCACCTCTGTGGGAGGCCTTCCGCTCAACGAAACCACCTTGGCAGAGGTGCTGCAGCAGGCGGGTTACATCACTGGGATGATAGGTAACTCTGGGCCCCGTCTGCCTGTTGCATTTACTGCAGTGGCAGTTGCCTTGTGTTTGCAAATCCCAAACATACTGCCTGTCTGCTTTCCTGTTCATGTCTTGCTATGTAAGTTAGGGATGCTCTCAGCTATAAGGAACTGAAAAGACCTAACAGTGAATTAAAACATACATGGAGCTATTTTCCTCCCATTACCGCAAGTTTCAAGGTAAGTGGTTGCTTTCATTAGCTCAGCTGCTCAAAGATGCTGCCGGGAGCCAGGTGCGCTCACTCGATCTTTCTGCTCTGCCGTCCTTAGCATGTAAGTGTTTTGTGTTTGTCCTCATGCTTGCTGCCTCATGACTGCCATCCAGCAACTTTAGGCCCCTGAATCATGATTTGGCTCAAAGAAGGAAGAAGAGAAGGGAGGTGGCTCAGCTCTGCCCGCGCCCCAAGAATTGCACTTGCATCTTATTGGCCAGAGCTGGGTCTTTTGGCCACGCCTCACTGCTGCACTCCCAGATTGAGAAACTGGGGACAATGTTGTAGTGACTGACTTGAACTTGGGCATGGTAATCTCCCTCCCTTTGAACAAAACCACAGTTCTGTTAGCAGGATACACGGGACTTGGGCATTGCTGGGAGACCAGCAATGTCTGCCATATTGTCCAATGACTTCCTCTCCTTTAAAACATTTTTAAGGCATCTCTTACTCAGCATTTATTATGTGCTAGGCACTGGGCTGCGTATTTATTGGCATGAAGATGATTATCTACCCCAGTGTATTGGCAAGAGAACTGAGTTGCAGACCGGTGAAGGGAAGTTGCCTAACCTGGAGGGGCGGAGGCCAGGTCTAGACAGGTCTATCTGGTCCCAGCCTTGCCCTGAGGCTCTGCCTCACTGCCGTTCTCCCCTCCAAGAGCCAAGACAACCCAGTATTCCCAGAAGTACCCTCAGCTGCCTGCATTTGTTAGTCTAACTCTCAAAGAGCTGGGCCCCTTGGGATCCCTGCCTTCTCCATCATACAGGAAATTGCAAGAGAGGGAGGGTGCGACCACAAGCGGGTGGCCCTGTGGGCATGCCTTGGGTGTCTGAACCATGTGAACCTGCGGGGGGTTGTTCTACCCAGACCCAGGGCTGCTGCCTCTGCTATTGGCCCTTTTGTCCCACTCTGGGTTAAAGAGCCTGATATCCTTTTACGGAAGCTCAACCTGCAGTGTGGTATTCTTTGTCCCAGAAGGGGCAAGTCCCAGGCTGTAGGAGAGACCAATTAAGGTCCCACACTTCTCTTTTACCAATCCCTTTCTTCGCATACCCCAAGGAGTCATTATGTTAACAACATCAACACCAGGACACCATTTGTAAAACTGCCACTGTGGGCTGACTCTCCTTACTAGGCCAGTTACACGCGTCCGTGTAAACCCCACAGCTGGCTGAACAAAGGGGCTCACACCTGTAATCCCAGCACTCTGGAAGGCTGACGTGGGAGGATCACTGGAACCCAGGAGTTCGAGACCAGCCTGGGCACCATAGTGAGACCCTGTATCTACAAATAAGTAAATAAATAATAAACCTCATAGCCAGGAAGGGTTTGGTCTCAGGGCTGTCCCAGACTCAGCCCCTATGCTGTAGGAGGGGGGCTGGCTTCTTCTGGAGCTGTTTTGACCTCACCGGCCCCTCCCTTTTCATGCTTTTAAACTCCAAGTAAGCAACTGTTTGCAGCTTGACTGTTTAGCTGCCATTCCTCACCCCCTCACCACTCACGACACCTTTTGCACATCCTGGGCAGGATATTTAAGCATATCCAGCCGTTGAAATTATGAACTAAAGTACACTTTTAGGAAAAATTAAAGACCCGCCAAAGGAATATCGATCCATTTACAACACTCACACTTTGCTTCTCATCTTGGTCCATGTGTCTCTGTGTTGCCTAGCTGTGCAAATACCGCTGGGCTCCACTTTTTCCCCCTTCACATTATTCTATGTTTCCGTGTAATATAATTTTACATATTATAATTTTTATGATTAAACAATACTTTTCATAATTTTAATATAAAGTCATGTTCCCATGTAATGTTTAATCCAAATATTTCACATAATGCTTAATCCATTTCTCTCAATTTTTTTTTTTTGTTTATTTGAGACAAAGTCTTACTCTTTCGCCCAGGCTGGAGTACAGTGGCTCAGTCTCTGCTCACTGCAACCCCCACTTCCCAGGTTCAAGTGATTCTCCTGCCTCAGCCTCCCGAGTAGCTGGGATTACAGACATGCACCACCACGCCCAGCTAATTTTTGTATTTTTAGTAGAGATAGGGTTTTGCCACGTTGCCCAGGCTAGTCTCAAACTCCTGGCCTCATGTGATCCGTCTGCCTCAGCCTCCCAAAGTGTTGGGATTATAGACGTGAGTCACTCAACTGAGAGAAATTGAGAGCTCATTTCTCTCAATTTTTTTATTAATCTTTTTTTTCAATCCAATAGAGCAGTTTCGGGGAGGGAATAATGGACTCCGAGAGGCACTTCATCCAGCTTCACCAATTCTTAATTTTTGCTACATGCATTTGCCTTGAACAAATAGTTTGACAGTGTCTTATTGAGGCCACATCAAATAATGTACTTAGACATACTCCTGTGGTTGCCCGTTAATCTCTCTCGTTTGAGCGGTTTAATGCTGCCAGCGTCTCGATCTTTGTACCACATTCTTTTCTTTGCCTCCTCACCATGGGGGTGACGCCCCTGGGGTCTACTCCTCAGAGCGGAAGAGCAGATCAGAGAGTTCTGACACTGTCAGAGCTCCTGCCACACATTACCCAATTATTCCCCCAGATTGAACGCATTTGCAGACCGAGGAACAGCGGGGCATCTGAGTTTCCTCATTTGCTGCCCCGTAGGTGTCTCGGTGCTTGAACTGCGGGCTGCTGACGTTGGCTAGAGAGGAAGATGATGAAACCAGGCAGGAAGCGGACATTTCTGAGATGACGTGGGGCGGTGCACCTGCACCCTGGGCCGCCTGGTGTCTTTGCAGGGCCCCAGCGCAGGAGGGCAAAGTGAAGGGGGTGATGGCCCATATGGGGTTGCTGTGTCTGCGGAGCCCTCTTTGAGGGGCAGAGGCTTAGGCTTCTCTGGGCTCATGGTGATGGGCTGTCTTCCCCTTTCACTGTGGTTTCCTGTGTGAGTCTGGAGTCATCCTTTATGTGTCCCTGTGGACAGCATCTCGGCCCCAGAGAGCAAAGCGTGGCTTGTATACCGCATTGCAGCCTCTCTTCGCTTGTCCACAGTGTAAGGCAAAGCCAATGGAGAGCTGAGTGTGTGATCAACTCCTCAGGGGGCCGTGGTACCCCTACGGGGATTCCTCTGAAAATCTCTCTTTTGTTTTTCTACAGGCAAATGGCATCTTGGACACCACGGCTTGTATCACCCCAACTTCCGTGGTAAGAATTCTTTTGGGGATTTGTTACCTGGGAAACAGAAAATAAAGGTCTCTGTGTAAGACTCCGTGAACAGCTAAGCCATCCTGTCTCTGCGGGCAAACCTAAGTTAGGACATCTTTGTTCACAAAGTCATTTGGGTGCATTTGGGGTGCCAGGGCTCTCCAGGACCTTCCATCCCACTTGCTGACATCTTCTTTGGCTCCCCTTCCTTGGTGCCTGTCTGCCCTTCCAGCTGCCCCATCACAGGCCCAACAGCTTTTTTGCCATCTCTTGGTTCTTTACACCTCAGGGAACATTCTGCCCCATGAGATCCAGACATGGCTAATCTGGGAAGAAGTAACAATTGACTGATGGGTTCACCGAAGCAGGAAACCTGGCCATAGACCCAAACAGGAGATGCTGCCTCTTGGCCTCTTCCTGCGGCCTTTGCTGCCTCACCCTCTGGCCTTGGGGAAGTAGGCCAAGATCAAGCTGCCAAAGCCGGTTCTCTGAAAATCACTTTGCTGAAGGGCGGATTCTCCAAACGTCCAATTCACTGAATTATTGATGGGTTTTCAAAGTTGCCGTTCGTGCCACTGTCCTTTTCCATTTCCTATGGGAAGCCACGGACTTTCTCTTGAAGGCAGTTTACCATGATCTCAGCTTTGGTGGCTTCTCCTCTCCCTGGCCCCTTCCTCTTCTGCCATTTTATAAGCAAATGTGATTCTCTGACTATTTTGCAGACTTCTCCCCTCCCCCGCCCCAGTATCTCTCCCTATCTCTGTGAAAAACGGCTGAATTGTTCTGTCCTAGACCTGGCAGAAGGTTTTCATTGGAAGTTTTTTGCATTTGGAGAATGACTTTCAGAGGGTTGGCCTGGAGCCGGCCTTCAGCAGCTACCCACTGGTCAGTAACCCCATTGGCTGGCATCTTCTTCAACTCTTACCTCCTCTTTGATGCTCATTGCTCTCCCTCTCCTCCCTTGAGCCCCTTTTCCCAGTTGGGCATTCATGACATCATCCACATGTGCTTTAAAAAAAGTGGCAGGCCGGGCACAGCGGCTCAGGCCTGTAATCCCAGCACTTCGGGAGACTGAGGCGGGAAGATCACAAGGTTAGTAGATGGACACCATCCTGGCTAACATGGTGAAACCCCGTCTCTACTAAAAATACAAAAAAACTAGCCTGGCATGGTGGCGGGCGCCTGTAGTCCCAGCTACTCGGGAGGCTGAG